CAAGTATTTTGTGATAGAAAGGTTGTCACATTGATCTAATTTAGAAACTTCCAAAAGCTTCCTTAAAAACATTGTATTGGAAAAAAAAAAAAAGAAATAGGAAATTTTTCGATTTGTATTAACTAAAATAAATAAATAAAGGAAGGGGTCGTTTTTATTTTATTTAGTTACTAGTACAAAATTTAATTCCAGATTGATGAGTCTTAGTTGAAAAGTATCATTTTATTAATTTTTGATATATTACTGTCACTAGTTCCAAAATCATAGTGTGGAGAAAAATGTGCTTAAATTTGGTTCGGGCTTATTGTAAACATGTATGATTACCTCATTTTTTTCATATTTTGAAGATTTTTTTTAATGACTGGGACTTTAAAATTCAATGCTGATTAAATCAATACATCTGGTAACTTTAAACATGGGGGAAAAGCGATTAACTCTGTGTACTGAAACACTATTATTTATGTGCTGTAAATTCCTTCCTTTTGATAGGGGCTTGGTCATTCATTTAAATTTCTAAAATATAAAGGGAAATCTGTAATTACAGCATTGTTTGACTTTTCAACAGTGATGGATTGAAATGACCATCAGTTTACTCATATTATAACAGCTCCTGTGTTGAAAAATTCTCACTTTGTTAACATGGATTACAGTTTGCATTTTTTAAGGAAATAAAAAGGGGATTAAACATACGTTACAAATAAAACTTACTGTAGCAAATTAATAAAAAAGCATGTTATCTCTATTTCTATTAATAAAAGAGAAAACTATAATGATAGTTTTGTTAATAGGTGAAAATGTTATCATAAGGGAAAATTAATTTGATGAAGATTAAAAGAAGATTTGAGAAAGAGGAGAGAAGATTGAAAGAGGAAAGATTATTCTTTTGGGTAAAAGCAAATATGAGACTTCTGTACTGCAGTCGAATCATTAAACTGCTTAGTTTGCCAATACATACGATTAAAATTTCGGAACCAAACCCAATTAATATGTTTTTTGTCAATTCTTCCAAAGAAAGTTTAATTTCTTTGGTATTTAAAAAGTTTTGGTATATAGTTGGTAATTATGAAATATAGACTTACATGCATAAAATCAATTTTGATGCAGTCTATAACATGCATTTCAATTTTTGGATTCTTTGAGTTTTGTTTTTAGAAGGAATATTCATATAGATTACTACCGCATTATACTTTAAAAGATCACGAAATACATTGTAGCTGTATCTTTGGAAAATGCTTGGGCTGTTGGCAAGACCAAAAAGGACTTTCAAAAATTCAAATTAGCCATTCTGAGTTACAAAAAATTTTTATTTTCTATTTTCTTCATCTACTTCAACATGAAAAAATGTATTTTTCAAATCTAATGTAGTATATACGATGGCTGACTGTAATTTATCAATGATGCCATCAATTAATGGGAGTGGAAAGCAATTGCATATTATTGTTTTGTTCAAGCATCTGAAGTCTACACACAGTCAGTATGAGGCAAACATTTTTCTGCTTAACACAGCATTACTTGAGTAATCGAAACAGCTTGGTTTTAAGATTTATTTACCTAATCGCTCAGAAATCTGTTTATCAATTTCACGTTGCTCTATGGGGGGAGGGTCTCAGCACACAATGAACCGGAAGTTCATCTGTCAACACTAGTCTCATCGTCAGGGCAGACTTTTTATTTTAATTGACTTATAATTCATTACTAATTGCAGTATTTCATCCCTGTGTCTCACCTTTAATGTGATTTAAATTGATATCCTCATCATTATTAATATCAAGAATGTGCATGAAGTAGTTTTCTGGCTGCAGTTTTTGAATTTTGATTTCTTTTTCATTTACAGTTAATTGTCCTTGCCTTGTACTATTATCTATACCAATTATAGCTGTAAAAAATATTTTGTTTTCTGTGATAACACAAATATTTGATCTGGCTGAAGAACCATTAATTTCGAATTCACCTTCAAATCTTCCTAAAGATTTAATTTTTACATTGCCAAATCTCGTTAACTGTAGATTTACTGGCTTAAGTTCATGGGAACCTATCTTGCTATGGACGTCTTCTCAAATTAATGTTTCTTGACTACCAGTATCTATTAAAGCATCGATTTGTGAATCATCTAAATCAACAGCTTTATGCATCTCTTTCTGACAAGTCTGAGTAACTGCAGTTACAGTTTTAGCATTTTAGTTATTTTTAGGAGATTTTTTTGGAACAATCCACGGCTTTGCGTCCAAAAAAGTTATATTTAACGCACTTTAATCCTCTACTGTTATTGTTACATGAATTAAAATTATGACCTTGATTTACATCTTGGTTCTTTGCTCTAGGTATAGCATATGCTTTATTTTGTGTGTTGGTACTTGAATAACTATTAGGGCATAGTTGATTTATTATATTTCGTCGTTCCAATAAAAGCTCAAATGTCACTACAGTTGTTCTAGACTATGGGTTTCGGCTTCCCTGTTCCGAGAACTAAAACTCACTACAGGTCGACTCTACCTTCGGGCACGTCGTGGAGGTTCAACCTCCACTATTACCCTCCAGCAGAGCCGCGCACCACCTGGATACGTCACCAGGCAGGCACCGGTCGTCAATTGCTCCTGCCAGTCGCTCGGCGACCGTCGCAGCGGACATTACCCAGCGACCCCCGGGGAAAACCCCACGGTTCCTACAGCACCACGCGCGCTAGGACGTGCCAGACTCCGAGGCCGGCCATAAGTGACCTTTCCCAGAGCCTTCAGAACCACCAAGTTCATAAATTTTATACCCCCGTGGCCGAGACTGCCTAGGTACAGATCCTAGCCAGTAGCTTCGCAGAGTTCTCTACGTCGACCCCCGGGGGGGAGTTGTTCTAGACTGTAGAAGGATGGACAGTGATGGATCACTTCCTGAATTTTTGCTGAGTGCATCTTGTTCCTCTTTTTTTCTAGTCATCTTTTAAGTGGGGGAGAATATAAGAAATTATCATCTTCCTTTCCCCATGCATGCTGTTTTGGCTTAAAGTATGTCTGACTAGCATTCGGATAATCCATCATTCAAATCCTGACAAAGACATTGAGGATTTTTAATGTGTCCTGCTGATAATTCCTGGCAAAGGCATTGATGATTTTAATGTGTCCTAATTTGTAAGTTAATTAATTATGGAATATTTGACAAATGTGTAAACTTGAATAAAAGAGGTACACTTGAATAAAAGAATAAAAGATACTTGAATAAAAGAGGTACAAATATGTTGCTAATTTGCTGTATGTATATTGTCAGCAATGAGTGTTTTGTAATATTTATGTGAACTTTCTTATAGCTCTTCTTTAAAGTATTATATGATGCTGTCTTTAGAAATAATTTAAGGAATAATTATAGCTCTTTATAATGATTTATTTTGTACAGGTAAGACAAAGTGAATCAGGTTGTTAATTTTACTCTGGTTAAATTAAAGGATATTGACAGAAATAAAACTTTTTCAAAAATTAGATAAATGCTTCATGCCAAAGCATTAGCTAACAGAAATTAATCTCAAAATAGTCAATTAGTCAAGTCTCGAAATAGTCAATTAGTCTGTCAATTTAGTCAAGTCAAATTTATGATTATAGAAAAATGATCTTCTCTGTTTTGTAACAAATCTCTCTCTTTTTTTTTTTTTTTTTTTTTTTTAAACATGGTGTACAGCCGCATCTCACAAAAATACATACCTTACGTCTGGATTACGTAGAATTTATCAAAGTTTAGATTAGATTTTGTGAAATTGTATGCTACTCTTCTACAAATGCACTTATTAGATCCTGGAGGATGTGAGGAGGCATTTGGTATGCTATAATTTGGAGTGCAGCTTAAAGCATTCCATGTGTGCTCAGTCAGATTCAAATGTGATGAGTAAGCTAACTGAATTCTGACAGTATAGATGCCCGATATGGAGGAGCATTCTCCTTTCATTAGTAAAAAGTCTGGTCTAAAAGTATTCCTAAACAGACTTGTGTGGGGTTCTAAAACCTCATCTACATATTTCTAACCAGTTACAGAACCTCCATCAGAGGAATGCAGCTATATTTTATGATTCTGTTTTAAAGCATGCAATTGCTTCCATGAAAATGGGAGTGTTTCTTGAATAAGGGAAGGCAAGTTGCATTTTCCTCTCTCCATCCAGATTTGAAACATGCTGAGAATCATAATTTAAGCTGTATCTGGACTGAAGAGTAAATGGTATAGTCATATACCATTTCGCTTGGCACCAATGAACATGATGACATCACTATTTTGAATAAGTCCCTTTGGAAGATCAAGTGAGCAAGACACAGACCATTGGTTTTTTTCACTTAAAGTCCAACCTCATGAAGTCAACTTCATGCAACAGTAAAATGGCTGATTTGTGTCCCTGTGGCAGCCTTGTTGTAGTTGAAAAACATAGAAAAATGGTATTGAGATGCGGTTGTTGCTCTTGGCTGCTGCATACCGGGCCTTGCATTAACGGATTTGCTGCTGAAAAAGTAGTCCGAAGTCTTTAATATTACACTTCAAAGTATGATCAAATCTTGGGCAAACTCAGTTTTCATTTACTTCCCTGATTCATCTATCAATTAACTGCCACTTTTGCCTTTTACTTTAAATAATACCTTGGAGCCATAACTAATGAACACTAATCACTTTAAGAAACCACATTAATTTTAGATAACACTGTATACTTGAATTCAAGCATTTATCTATTGCACGGCATGTTATCAATCACTAATTTGCATTTATTATGTGCTGGCGTATGCACAGTGTAGTCCATTTTTGCATTCACTTGCAGATAATTAACTTAATAATTATGCAGTTGGACACTGGTTGAAAACTTAAATCAGTGAGCATATTTTTAATGACCCTCTAATTTTTGTGAGTAGTATATTTAGGTTTATCTGTAAACACACTTGTAAAATGTCCTTTATTTTTGGTTCTTTTTTAGCTTTAATAATAATTAGTGTAAAAATAAATATTTATGTAGGTAAATTTTATAACAGTATATTCCCTTTTAGAAAATGGCCTCCTCAGTTATTCTAATCCAAATTATAAGCTAACTGCATCAGATGAGAATTGCAACGTTGAGGTGCAGGATGATTCTGATGAACTTTATGAGGGATTAGATATTGCGTGCCGAGTATCTCGTAGGCCCGGAATTCGAAATCGTCGTAAATATGCAAGCTTGGATCCTGTGTCTATGGGTGTTGATGTTGACTTAGAAACTACCCCAATGCTTACTGAAAGCACAGAAAATAATTTGTAAGTATATAAGTTTATATAATTTAATATTGTAAAAACTTTTTTTTTTAAGTGCTACCCCAAACTTTTTGGAAATGTGAAACTCTCTATCCTGTTATAGTTTCTATTTACTCAGCTGGGTAATGCTGTTCATTATCTTTATGCAACATCCTTTTCTTTAGGGTAATAGCCCTTGTGTAATTTGTCATATTCAAATATTTAATGTAACAATGAATATTTGGGTAGCATTTTTTTTTAGTTTCAAAGGTACTCAAGCTTTAGAGGTACTTGAATCTTTTTCAAATGTTTCTTTGTATATACTGTATTTGTTACAATTTTACTTTTTTTTTCCTTTTGTGTGTGCATTGTTAAAATAATTTTATTTTTTTGTAAAACTTCTTGACTTTCAGCATTTTTATGTCTATTTTCAACAAACCTTAAAAAAATCCCATGACTATTAAAGGAGATCTCTGCAGGAGGCTAGCACGTTGCTGCAGTTTCCTTAAATTTTCATGTTTTTTGTTAATGTTTTCCTCTTAATCCAATAAAGGGTAACATGTTTATTTTATTTCAGACTATGAAAGGCTGCATAGTGTTAGTTAGTGTTGTAAAAATCCCTGAAATTAATTTTAGTCTTTAACAGCAAATCAGAAGTGTATGAAAAATACATTTTGATATCTAATTTTTATTATTGAAAAAATTACCTTGTTTGCATTTAACTTAAAATATAGTTAATGTAACCATGTCATGTTCCATTTCTCCAATGAGAATCAAGCACCACTGTGGGTCATCGCCATAGTAATCAATGAGCACAAAGCAAGATTAAGTTTGTTTATTTCATTTGTCTCGCCAGTGAGCAGCGTAAGTTTCATGTGCTTCCCAGAAACAGTTTAAGAAACTGCGATCTTTGTCTTAGTTATGTCTACGAAAAAAGTAAAACACTCATGTACTTTCAAAAATCGTACATACCTGACTTTCCTGCTATTATTTCATCAAAAAATGTAATATTGCAATTTTTATCATTTGTCATTGCAATTTTTCATTGCAATTCAATTTCGCATGATGGAAGGGTTGATGCTCTTAAGCATGTGCATACACAAGGAGAACATGAGTTGTACTGAAAAACAAAATTCAGTTTTTCTGTGGAAACAAAGGACCAAGAAGTTATTAATGCAGAATACCTGTTTTCTGCGATTTTACTGGAGCATAATCTGCCACTGCATTTTGCAGCTTTTTTCAAAAAAAAAATGTTTCCAAGCAGTAAAATCGCTAAGAAATTCTCAAGTGCAAAGACAAAAATGGCTGCAACTGTAGAAGAAATGTGTATGAAAAATAAAACTTGAGTTATTGGTTGCATTTAAACAGTTCCATTCTGCCTTTCTACAGATGGAAGCAATAATACTGATTTGAAACTGTATCCTTTAAAAAAATAAAAACAAATTCCAGAGTCATCAGAAATTTAGTATAGTTTACTTTCTGTCCCCACTTTTGATGAGATTTGAGAGGCTTTAATAATAGCCCAGCTAATTATTTAAACTTTAAAAGAAAGTGCAATTCGTCAGGATAATTGCTTAGCACTTACTGCCATGCCAGAAATGCACCAGGAACTGTAGGCTTGAAGACTGATGTTGTAAGCATTAAAAAAAAAAAAATGAAAGAAAATTCATATTTGCAAATTATGAAATGCATCTGTCACCTCTTAAATTTAGCAGTAAAAACGGGTCAGTTTCTTTGCTAGTAAGTGTGGTTGAACATATTGTTCATATTTATTATTATCTTGGAAAGATAGCTAAAAGGACGGAAAAAATGAAGCAATTCCAACATAATACTGGAAGAATAAAATAATCTGAAATATATATGTACACATTGTGTTATCTTTAGAGAAATGTTTAGCAAGAATCATTGACCACTTCTTATATTTTGTAAGGAAGAAGTAAATACTTCTAGAGTTAAGGTAAAAGCCTCTGTTGAAAGTTATAAAATATCCTAAGTAAATGGAGATGTAGTTATTGCTTCCAATGTTAAAAATAAACGTGAGAAAAATTAAGTAATTTCTGCAATTAAATTGACAGTTCTCAAAATAATATCACAAAATGCAACTGTTACATCTGAATTACTTCTTTCTTTTGTATACTAAATTTTATTAATATCATTAAACCATTTCTGAAACCAACTGTAGTTTTGCTTTTATTTGAAGACCCTTGTATCAACAGTAGGTTAATAGTAGGAAAATTTTACAGATATATGCATTTCTCATCATAAAGTTTCATTTCTACATTTGTCTCATTTGTATGTCATTTGTGAATGGTCCCTTGAAAGCCACATAAATGGTGCTCTACTGTAGTTTTTTTTAAGATCTTCCCTCTGCAGTAAGAATGTAGTTCATCAGTCCTTTTATGTTAGTTACACAGAATTTATTTGTTTATCTCCGTAATGAGTACCAATAACAATTCCTGCGGAAAAGTCAAGATCTGAACTTTCATTTCCGACTTGTCTATGTTTGAGTGGATAGATCACTAGGGGTTGTTATATCGGGGGAGGTTTTTTTAATGGCCACCCTGTATATAGATTATTTTTTGTATGTATGTGTGTATCTGTATATATGTACACTGAGCAAAAAAAAAAAAAAAAAAAAGGGCGGAGACAGTTCTATATCTCCCGTATTACTAGGCCGATTAACAAAATTCAAATTATGGTTTTCATGTCTCGAAAGCACGACTTGATATATAATAAGATTTATACATTCTTTTGCAAAAAAACCTAAGCACCAAGAACGACTTTTGCGATCATGATGAAATTTGGTATGCAAACATCTTGATCGAACATGCAAATGATCAAAGTTTCAAGGTAAATGAACAGGAATTTGACTATAGCGCTCATTTCTATTGCACAATTTGCAAAGTATAAAACCACTAACAGGCGGAAAATTTATCTTTTTTGTTCCTGCCATTGTAATTCCATAAAGAAGCAACTAAAGATGCCACTATGATGATATCGAAGACTTTACAGACAACTAAACGACTTAGAACGTGATCGCATTGTAGGGTTGCGTGAAGCTGTACCTCCCATGGTACTGTTCAGCCATCTCACGGTGCTTGTCTGAGGCGGGGCTACGCTCACAAAGGCCTTTAAGACATTTTTCTTTGGCCCCACAACATCGGCAGAGACGTCTGGAGTGGTGTCGCAGCCGATCATCATGACTGCCATCAGACTGGCATCGTATAGTGTTCAGCCATGCATCCCACTTCACTCTTGAAGCAGATAACCACCGTGTTCGTGTCTGGAGAGGACGGGGCTAGCAGTCCCAATCAAACCTTGTTTCACAAAGGCATACAGCCATAACCCCTGGTGTGATGGAGTGGGATGCTATTTCTTATGACAGCAGGTCATCTTTAGTCATCCTCCATACATCTTTAAGAGCTCAATGATATGTTGATACCATCCTGTGGCCGGTTGCATTACCTTTCATGGCACGTCATCCTGTGGCCTTTTTCCAACAGGGTAATGACAGGCCACGTACCGTTCATATATCTCTGGACTGTCTCTGTGTGGTTGATACTCTTCCTTGGCGAGCAACGTCACCAAACCTTCACCAATCAAGCGTGTCTGGAACATGGTAGGCCGCCAGATTCGAGCATCACAAAATATCGCAGATCTGGAGTGACGACTGATGAATGTCTGGCAGAATGTGTCGCCGGATGACATTAGGAACCTCTACCACTCCTTGCCTCTACAAATTCAAGCATTCATTGCCGCTAGGGTGGTTCGACCACTACTGATTTGAACACTCAATGGGTGATTGTATGCCATGAACAGGTACTATGACCTTGGTTTTTTTAATCATTTTATTATCTGTGTATGAGCTATACACATATTCAATTTCATCAAAAATAACCACTTCCTTCCAGGTGCTTCGATTTTTTGCAAAAAAGTTTATATAGCATTGTTTTAGCATAGGTATTTTGAGACAAAATCGGACTTTTCCTGAGATAGCATACCAATTTTTTTTCCATATTTCAATTCTATGACTCAAATTATGGCTAGATATTTAATTTTCTAAAATTTGATGCAAAATTTATGAAAAAATTCAAAAATTTGTCTTGTCACAATTTTTTTCAGTTTACGCCAAGAATAATTCACTTGGCGAACTTCTAAATATATAGCAACCTATTTTCCTTTCCCTTCCATTGTGCCAGAGTGAAAAAAAAGGCACTTCATTCCTACCTTTTCACATTGTGCATGAGAGGAAAAAAGTCACATTGTTCATTTAATTTCAAATAATTTTCAAATGAAAGTGTATAAACCACATTTGATATTTTATCGCTTTCAATAAATATGCCAAATTTCAAAACGTGCCAATATATAAATTCACGCATATCTTCGGACATTTTGAATAAAAAACTGTAATTTTTTGCAGGTATGCTTAGAAATACGTCTACTTTAAAATGATGTTAAAAATTTTATAGTTTATAATTCAAAATTTTTTTTAAATTTGTAAAAAATATTAAAAAATACAAATTTTAAAAGTAAATCATAAAAAATGGGTAAATTTTATTTGGAATGAACCTGAATTTCATAATGTTAAAGGAAAAATCAAATAATTTTAATAAAAAAAGAGATTAATAAATATATACCAAACTCAATTCACATTGAGGAGCTAAAATTTTGAGAGCTAATTTTTTAAAAACTAATCATGTGATTTTTACAAAACTTGGTAGTTTGGTATAATTTGAGTTGTAGAATCGAAATATGGGGAAAAAATTGGTATTTTATTTCAGAAAAGTCCTATTTTGTGTCAAAATACATATGTTAGAACAATCCTATATATAAACCTAATATATATCCTAAGTCGCACTTTCGAGACATGAAAAACGCAATTTGAATTTTGTCAACCGGCCCAATAGAACAGGAGATATAGAGCTGCCCCCCTTTTTTTTTTCGCAGTGTACATTGCACACTTAAATCCCTATCACGTATGCTATTTGTTGCCGGAACAGGATGTCGAAAGAAACATTTCTCAAATCTGCATTCCACGAAACTGGGTTACCTTCGCTTTTGGTAAACATACTTGAAAGCCAAACAGTAATAAGTTATTGTTCAGATTGACGAAAGAGACGTTTGCTTTCAAATTCCATGTATGTGTAAAATATATTTTGTAGTTATTTTAATGTTTTGGCTCAATACCATGTCAAAATGGCATGTGTTTATTGCATTAATTGTTACTTAAAAGTAATTGTATATTTTTTACGCCAATTCTTCTAATGATCTGTTGTGTATATTTTTGTGAATACTTTTACATCATATAGTCTGTGATTTGTCATTATTTATGATTTTATTATTGTAAACAATATATTTGTATCCATATATTTATTTAATAACTTTTATGTACACAATATAATGTCGTTTATTGATATATGTTTTGTGGTGAGTGAAAAATATTTATTTTATTCCCAAAATGTTAAAATATTTCGCAAAGGCTACTTGCTTAGTTTTTTTATTTAAATTGCTAAGTAAATTACAAATGCAAAGTTTGTGTGTAAATGGGGCTAAATTTAATGACTAAATTATTGCATAAAATGCATTTCAATTATTTTTCAACTGTGTATTCCATATCCATGATAATGTGCAAAGAACTGATGACTACAGTTGCTGGCAATTACATTATCGTTATATGAATTAGAAGTAACTTCAAATAAATTTTTTGGCCATGTTCATTTTTGTATTGATAATATATATGCACGCATCTAATAAGTCATATATTTACATACACATAGAGAGGCATTGGTATATGTTTCTTAGTATTAATGTAATGAATAAGATTTATATTAATGATTGTATATACAAAAGTTTTTCATCATTCATAATAATACAAATATAGTTCTTGATGTGTTTATAATGTAAAAAGCATTTCATTCATAACATGAAGATAATAGCATACAAATTTAATGTGTATCCTCATTATTACATAATCTATGTTTTAATAAATATACATAATTGCTGTTCAAGCAATTTCATGTTAAATGTAGTAAAAGTAATTAGCAGAAAAGTAAAGTCGCACATATACAAACAGATTTTAAAAAAAATTATTCACCTTAAATTTAATAAAAAAATTCTATTGTATAAGAATACCATTTCTTTTCACACGATCAGCACAAAATATGACAAATTTGGCAAACTTTTGGCAACGAATAATTTGTAAACAAATCATCAGAAATGGCACGTCATCACCAATCACGTCATAAAATACTGTCTACTCTGAAATGTCCACAATTTTAAATTTAATGAATGTATAAACATTTTAAAAATGACTTAGACAGTTATACTACAAGAAAACAACAATATATACGAGTATATACGACCTTTTCCGTATTTCTTGAATTAAATCGGCTGCTGTTTCCACCATTCAGGATCTCACAGTTGCAGCCATCGTCATATTGAAAATTACCCGTGATCCTTCAGAAGCAGAACTTTCGTCTGATTGGTTGATTTCTACGCGGAACACAGCTGCGAATGAAACATTTTTGGAAAAGTTTCAAATTGTTCTTTATAGCCAGGACATATTTTCCTCAGCTATACGGCACAGTTTTCGGAAACCTCCCATTTAAATTAATGCTACTAGATTTCTTGGAAATGTCCTGCATAGCCGTTCGCGTTGCTAGATATGATAGTCCCTTTATGTAAACACACATACATAAATACAAGCCTACTCTGTTGCAAATTTCACTTAATGGAGATGTTGCATTTAGAAAACTGCTGGAGTATTATTCTTTTCTTCATATAACTTCTTTGTATTTTACTTCAATTTGTGTTTTTATATTTATATATAGTTTCTTAGGTCAGTCTGAAAATCTGAACAGTTAGTTTTTAAATCTGATTGAATTTTAGATGTATATCTTCATTTTTATTTGTAATATTAATTTTTGATATAAAACAGCTAAAATTCTTCTTTTCTATTTAAAATTAATAGGCTTTTTTATAAAGATCATGTACTTGGTTTAAATTTACATTCTTGGTCTTAATTCCTGTTCTTTATCTTTTTGGCATAATTGGAAGTTTTTTCAGTGTAAGAAGTAGACTTCAAAGAATGAATTTTAAATAAGAGTAGGTTGCATCAAAGTATATAAAATGAACAAAAAAACTCAAGAAATAAAAAGAGGTGCCCATTGCATGTGCATACATTTAAGGCAAAAATACGATTTCAGTTAAACAGTAAAAGAAGTGGAAGCAGAGTAAGCAACCAAAGTTACAAAATCCGAATTCAGCTTATAGGGTGATCTGAGATCTTGAAACAAAATAAACTTATTAGTTTAAAAAAGAAAGCTTGGGGGCAAAAGGAGCAAGTTTTTAAAACTAGCCTTTCAAAAATCTTCAAATTAAAAATATCATAATTTTGAAAAAAATCCTATTGCATTGTTTAGGTCATTATTTAAGCTTTTTAAATGTGCTTGAGCTCTTTAAATTACTTTAGTATTTGTGTGTATGTGTGTGCTGTTATTTTTCAGAAACGAACCAGAAAGTTTAAATCCTAGTGAGCCAGAACTTTTCCAAGCTGTTGATAATGGTAATTCAATTTTTGACTCAAATGATAATAAGGATATGGGGAAAAGGTCAAGTTTCTTAGAATACTGCATTAGTCTTGAATCAGCTTCTCAAAAACAGAAGAAACCAGCAGCATGCCAAGCTGCATATTCCTCTGACGGCAACCTTTCTTCTGAATCAAATGTATTTGAAAAGTAAGCCTTTTTTATTAAAATCACGTGTATTAATTAATTTGCGAGATCATTTTCATAAATAAATTGTTTAATGCTGCATTTTGTGTTAATTTTACATTTTCAAGTAAATTATATTTGTTTCTTTGCATACTTTTTTGTGTTAAAGTATGTAATAATGTATTTTCCGCTACAAAAGCAAACTTTCTAACAAATTTCCCCCCTATTTTGGGAGAAGTTATGTGCTATTCACAGTCAAAGAAGCATACTTATATTAACATGTGTCAGTTAGCTCCTAAGTCTTATCAAAGGTAATCATGAATTTTGTGATCATAGTACATCGTTACTATTGCCATTAATATAATTTATTAAAAAAACTGCAAGAATGAATAAATGTGTGAATTTTATTCAAAATGGTTCTTGCTTTATGCACCTTTGGACCCCCCCCTCGAACAACAGGGGCCTGCGTCTTCAAATTGTTAGAGTATTATGAAAACATATGTCAAGATTGCATTTTCTGCTGAGCTTGGTGAGCGTGACTTCATTAAAATCTGTATGTGGATCAGCTGTGCAAAAAAGACAAATTGAAAATGCCATGCAGACATTGTTATTGCGGGTCCATTCAGAAACATACCATCCATAACATCATGTTTTTAAGAGAGCTTTTTTTTCGGTCCAAAAGTGGATGCTGACTACATAAAGCAAGATAAGATTCATAAGTTATCTTTTCTCCTCGAATACTTCAATGTCATATATACTGCCCTCCAAAAGTTAAGGAACATCATGTTTTTTGTGTCTAATTTGAGAATGAAGCAACACAGGAACAATTAATTTATAGGACATGCTCAGTTCTTTAATGAATGTGGCATAAAATGTTTTTAAAGTTCAACACAAATGTGAATTACAATAGAAAATTGCACTCTTGGCAGAGAAATCCAATTTTGGAGAAACAGTATATCACAGTTTTTTGAGGAAAAATGGGGTAGTAACATTACAAAAAGGGTTCTAATAAGGAATGTTTCCACCCCTAGCTGCAATACATTTGCGGCAGTGACGTTCCATTCTGTCAGTTAAGTTGTTGGTCAGTGAAATGGTAAGCAATGGCCAGATACGGAGTAATCCTTGTTCAAGCTCATCTAACGACCTTGGAGGAGGACTTAAAGCAGCAACCTGTCTCCCAAGTTAGTCTCAAATATACTCTATCGGACTTAGGTCTGGGGTTTGAGGACTAAGGTCTGGCCATCTCATCCACTTCATACTGTGATCCTCAAGCTATTTTTCAGCAACCCGAGTTTGGTGCAGTTGAGCATTGTCGTCCATCAGAAGAAATCGAGGATGAATAGCAGTTGCATATGGGCAGACATATTGATCAAGAATCTCCTCTCGATATCTCACACCGGTCAAAGTTCCTCTATGGAACGCACACAGGGCAATGTGGCCACTGAGAGGGATCCCAGCCCAAACCATTATTCACCATCTGTGTAACTGTGTTTTTCCACAATGTGGGATTAGTTGTATCTAGTGTGTTGTTCCCTCCAGATCAGCTGACGACCTTGAATCACTCGGCAGTGTGAACTTGGACTTGTCTGTGAAGAGAACAGATGCCCATTGTAGACTGGTCCAGGAGATGTGTTCTCTTGTCCAATATAATTGGCACCTCTGTGTCCTCAGGTCAAGGAGACCCATACAACTGGTCGTCCTGCATACAGATTTGTATTGTGCAGGTGTCTGCACACTGTAGTAGCTGAGATTCTTGTTCCTGTTGCCACTAAATGATCTGCCATGAGCTGAGGCACAGTAATGTTACTCCTCCTTCGGGTGGAAAGAGCTAAATGATGGTCTCCCACAGGTGTTGTAACTCTAGGTCTGCCTGGAACATGTCTTCTAGACACAGATTCGGATTCAAACTAATTCCATAGTTGGTAGACCACATTGCGAGAGAGATTGAGACGTCTAGCAGCATCAGCTTCTGACATCCCCATTTCCATCTATCCGATTGCCCACCACCCCAACAAATTGGGCAAACAACTTCTAATTGGGCCAAGATCTAGTTAGTTCATCATGCCATGGTAATGTAATTATAATGGACAATTTACATGTGTAACATGCAAGGTGGCCCTTAGAAAGTCCTCCACGAAGGCATCCATCCCTTAGGCAGATATCCCTCGAGATTTTGCCATAATCACTTAAAAAACTAACACTCAAAACATACGTGTACAAGAAAATAATTTTTCTTTTAAGGAAAACTTTTTTTACAGAGAGACAAATTATGTCATACAAAAAAATTCCCAACTGTCTAATTTTAAAATCAGATTTTGTTCTGAGAGATTCACAATCATTTTAATATTTTAGAAAAACTGACTTTATCTCACGCCTTTCAGAGTTACATCTGACTAGCATAAGTATATAAACTCTGAAATTAAATAATAAAAGAATAATGCGACTTTTAGAATGAAAGATTTTAATTCTTCAAGATTTCATTTCTCTGGAGTTGTGTCTGAACTCGTCGTTAGTACATATTTATGGAATTAGCACATATGCAGCCACTGTAATCATCTTTCTTTCTTAATCTAAACTAATTTTATAATTCCTTGGAGGGAAAAAGCAGTTTATTGGAACAGAGAATGAACACATACTCGTGTGAGGGATGTGTTTGAAACTGAGCGGGGAAATAATAATAATGAAGATAGTAAGTGAAGAATCAAGAATTTATGGCTGCAGTTGAAATTCTACATAGGACATAACAGTTTCAATAAAAAAAAAAAAAAAAAAATAAATAAAAATCAGGAAATGAAAATGAAAGTCTGTAGAAAAATGACAACTAAAAAGACACGTTAAGCAATAGCTACAGCAAAGATAAATTTAAAATTTCCGAGTCCTTAACCTACTAACTGAATACTTTCTAAAGATTTAATTTTAAATGCTTCTGATTTTATTTGTTGTTGCTGCAATCAGAGAATAATTATTTTCAAACTCAAATTTTATGCAGAAAATGAAATCATACATATTGTTACTTTTTTTTTTTCTCTGACACCAATTGTTGCATTATTTTCTTCCTTTCTTTACGTTCATACGGAGTTCGTAGATATGGAGTGAATAACGGTGACACTTGATGAAGTATTGAAACGCACTTTACTTAGCCAATATTAATCAGGACAGCTCCAAAATCACGTTTTACAGTCGTCGAAGAACTACTATAAAGATGCTGACACAATCTGCGACACAGTCTTCACACTATCAGGTTGTAATGAATGGTCGAGACAGCTTAACTGCAAAGCACCAGAGTACAGCTCTTGACTCTGCTTGGTCGTTCTCGGAACTCCAGGTACTCAAGACTCTCCACAACTCGCGATGCACTCGACGACACACAGAGCACAGCTCCTGACTCTTCTGTTCAGTTGTTCCCGGAGCTCAACACGCTCTCTCGACGATGCACTAATCGCGACTACACTACAAGACTCTTTCGGTGCTTTCGACGACCCACTCGGCACTCGCTACCCAGCTGTCAACTCAATCGACATCGCAGGGATTGACTAGCTAGACGAGACACGAACTCGATACTAACTCTCCGCATACCAGCAGGGTTTATATAGCTTTTGGCTGGTGTTCGAGAACATTGTGAGCTAAACCGGTAAGAATTCATTCCAGAAGGTTCTCCATCCGTCCATGGCATATCGCCAATTTTCTCGCCAAATGTGGCAACCCTTGCTTCCTTGCTATTTTCTGGCAACCCTAAAACTGCTTTGCAGGAAAGCCATTTTACCGCGCCTGTACATTTCGTAACAATATGATAGTGTCACACACAAAACAAGCCTATAAAATCTTGCATTATTAGCAAATGAAAATTACATGTATGTTGAATTTGGCATTTCGAAGAAATCTCACAAAAATGTAAGTGATAGATTATAGCTTGAGTAGAATTCTATTGCTTGAATCCTCCATGACCCCTCAAATCTCTTGCAGTATGCAAAGAAAGTAAAAACTAAAAATTCTTCAAAGGCCCTATTTTCAAATTCACAGGCAGACACCAAAAACGCTCGTACTGACCTTGCTTATATCCGTATCATCTATGTTATAAAGACTGTAACATTCATCTCAATGGTCAATGAGCCAAATTCCCTTAAAATATGCTCCGTGAAGGCATCCTTCATTTAGACAGATAGCCTTTGTATGCTTTGCCATGCTCATATAACCTACATTACATTACACCAAAGATGAAAATCCATTACCTCGCTGCATCATTTGGGCTGCCTTACATAGTTATCTATTCATCTCACAGTGACAATATTCTTTCATAGCTATAATAATTCCTTTATCATATACTTGAGCTGCCAGGCTGGTGCTGTTTTTAGTGACACTGCCATAACAGTGGGTCCAGGTTCAAATCCCAGGGAATGCATGAATATTTGGGGACACTAAAAACACGGCAGGCCGAAAGTCGTCTCGAGAGGTTGTGGTAGGGGAAGAGGGGTGGAAGACCCTTGTACAACCCCTGTGTATTCTATCGCAAAATTGGGACGAAAGCTTAACAGTTTGCTAGATTCAGCATAACATTTAACATAAGCACATCAAGTGTACTTACTGTATTCTGTTCCATTTGAAATCATATTTTCATTAATGGTATCTTTAATAGTCTACATTCATTTAGTGCTATTCTTACCTGAATAATATTAAAATAATTAGACTGAACGCAAGTTTATTTTGTAAGCATTCCTTGTGTTATCTTCAGATATAATAAAAGCCTGAAAGCTGCATAGGCATTTTTCTTACCTTTTCATGCAGTATTTTATTGTGTTAACTATTGGGCTAAGAAAGATTGTGAACTGTACCTGTTACCTTTTATTTCTGTTAATCTGCATTCTCCCATAATATTAGATTTAAGGATTAATTATAAAGGAATCACAACCTTTTGGTCGAGAAATGAATAAAATGAGGTATAGTAAATAAAAAAAGTATTCGGTTTCTGTCGCCAAATCATCTGATGTTGAATTTGAAATTCAGAAATAGCACTGTTATTAAATGGTTAAATGTTATGACCCAAATTAATAATTATGCTTAACATGCATTTTCTTTTAGATGCTATGAGGATAGAGAATTTTTTAATCAAGCTGATGGACTAAATCATATAAAAGGATCTTTCTCACAGAATTCATATTCTGTATTACACAAGAAAAGCATTCCAGTGCTTGATCAGAAGTCACTGTTAAGCATTCCTATTAGATTCAGTAATACTTTGAACTCTGAGAAAACATTGTATTCAGAAGCTAATGACTGTGATTCTCTTCCATCTGGTTGGGAAAAACATGAAGGTAAGGATTTAAATTAGTTAATGATTCTACTGAAAATCAAATTGTGTTGTTGTATTATACAGTGAAATGTCGTTAATCTGGACCTCACAGCTACAAACTTTCTGCGAATGCTTCAACGCATAATGCGTTGACGCATGTGCATAATACCTTTGCGCATGCGCATAATACCTTTACGCATGCGCGTTTAATGTGTAACGGACGGTATAAGCTAAGCTAAAATTATCTAATTATCTATTTCAGTTAATGTTGCATATTGTGTCATTCCTTAATCTTAGAATTAGATCCGGCTTATTATTTTTGGCAACTTATCATTTTGCAACTGTTAGAGCAATTTTATAAAAGTAAGCTTGAACTTTCAATTATGTCATAAAGAATTTCCGATTCTGGAGCTGTCAAAGGATCTACAAAGCGAAAGCATGTTTCAATGTCCATAAAAAAAATGGATAAAGGCATATCCTTTGTTTTTCTAACCATTCCGAAATCCGTTTATCAATTTCATGCTGCTCTGCTGGGGGGGGGGATGTCGCAGCGCACAATGAACTGGAAGTTGATCTGTCAGCACTATCCTTATCTTCAGGGCAGATGTTTTTATTTTATTTGGCTTATAATTCCTTACTAAATGTAGTATTTCATCTCGATGTACTCCGTCTTTGATATGATTTAAATCAAATTCCTCGTCATTATAATTCGCTTCCAATAGCAAAGAAAGTGACAGAGGTTATTGAAAACGAAAAAATTTCGATTGACAAATTAGTCGGTTTCCTCGACACAGCAATTATAGGACTTGAACAGCGGAACTTTGTAACTGAACAAGAAATTATGTCTGTTTATAGATTTAAAGAGAATGTATTATCACATAAAAAACGAAGCAACTTAAACAACTTACACTGAAAGAAAGGTTTAATCTCCATCTTTGATATGATTTAAAATCAATTCCTTGTCATTGTGAATATCACGAATACACACAAATAGTTTTCTGGTTGCAATTTTCTAATTTCGATGTGCGTAATGTATGCTTTTACGCAATGCGTGCATTGAAAGAAATGTTTAATAAATAAAAAATAAATATTAAGTTTTTTTTTTGTAAATTTTGTACCCTTTAGATCATAATTCTTTATTTATAGTTACAGTTTCATATTTTTAATTTTATAATTTCTGCATGCCATCTTATCAGATTTAAACTGGTGATCTATAATCCGCAATCGCCGAAGTCCCGACGAGTCCGGATTAACGACTTTTGACTGTAGTACTTTTTTGCTATATTAGGATTGTAACAATGCATGGATATGTTCTTTCTATACTTATGATATTTTTTAAATATTATTGTGTCATTTGATGTAGTAAACCCTTGTTAACATGGATCTCAAGGCATCGAAAAATCAAGAGTTCATGTTAACTGGGTACTCAAATTTTATTTTTGGAATAATTTTTACTATATACTAATTATTTACAGTAAATAGGTGCATATATGTTAGATTATATGATGTATCTCTTAACAGAAAACACTACAGTACTGCATTAATTACTGTACTGCAACTTGAAAAAATATGCTTACTGATACCCGAATGTTCCCGTATATTGTGCTGTTGCAGACAGGAAGGAAAATTTTTGGTGACTTCACAGCCTACTGTACTCATGGCTTCTGTAAAACTAGCAGTCAATTTGAATGTTGTAGCAAAAGGTTTGAAAGTGTCCAAGGTATACAACACTTCCTGGCGAGTGGTTGGAGTCATACTGTCCTTCTCCCTTTCTTCTGATGACATTTCTTGCACCTCAGTCATAGCTGATTGTACAGATTCCACTGGAGCTTATTCGGCACTGTCATCATCTATACTAACAAACTCCTCAAAACTAACACCAGGGCTTGCAGCTTATTGTAGAATATTCCGTTCGTCAGGTTAAGTGATGTTGTTGTTACCATCTAATTCGTCAGCAGGAGTAATGTCTGTCTCTGGGCTCTTAAAATAGTTCTGTATATGTTGTGATGACGCAAATTTCCATAATGCAGCAATAGCTTTTATTGCATCAAGCATAGTCCAAATTGGTGTTTCCATCTCCATTTCAACGGTGGGAATTTTACCTGATTAATTTAGAATTATTCAAGATTAAACATCAAACTGATGAGTTAATTTATAAAGAATAAAAAAGCACATCTAATTCCATTCCTATTCAGCTACTTTTCAGTCGTGGTGGGTTTGCTCTTAGATTGAGCTCCTTTCAAAAGACCATAGGTGAAACATCAAGGGACTTCGCAGGAATATGCTGAAAAGGTCTATTTGCAATATCTTTGTCACTCTTCATTTTTTCAAGGAATCCAGTGGTATTTTTCAAAGTATCAGCTGTTGCTTTTTCTTTATGGAATTTCTTCTTTAACTATCAGACGTAAAACTTTCTCTCGATAGTACATTGAGTAGATTTTAACATTTCTTTCCACTTTTCTTATTTTTAATTTCCCATTGTAAGAGAATCCTGCAATAATCATAAACCCCCTTATTGAAACTTTCTTTGCATTGACAGAACCAGGGTTTGTACACTTTTTTTTTCCTTTTCGTTTTTCAGAATAAAAGACCCTTCTTTTTTGTTGTTCCATTCATTTAGGTAAATTCACGAGTCAGCAAGGGTCATGATGTATTTCCATTTATCTCTTGCAGAAACAGACAGAGTTCTACAAATTGTTTTGCATTGAGCCACATGCCTCAGGAAAAGCTGGTGAACACTATGTTTTTTATCTTTTTCAGTTGTAGTTCTTGGTTTATTATTTTATTTATAATTACTACAGATGTATTTAAAGATGTTGCAATCAATTTCTGTAGCAGTAGATTTTCTCTTGTTGTCAGCAATTAACTTTAGAAACATAAGAAAGAATATGTACCTTTTTCGGGTATTCATTTGAAGTGTTTTTTCCATACAGGAGTAAATGATTGATTGTTTTTCCTTTTCCGTTTAATAATGTTGCTTATCTTGCATTTGGAAATTTTAATACAATCATTTCTCAATATTTCTGAATTCTAGAAATTTAAATACTATGCATTTCTCTGTTTTTTAATTCTGGAATAGGAATACTTCTTTTCAGAAAGCACAAAATATTCTTAAATCCACAGCTTGTGTACATGCAACATTTTGAAAGAAAAATAAATTTAGATTTAGCAGATGATATTTCTCATTTCAAATAATAAGCTGTTGCCAGAAATATTTATTCTAATGCATTTCCTTTTTAAAAAAGTTCTTTATCAAAATCTTTCTAAACACCCTCTGTATATGCTATTCAGTGTTATCTTGATTTGTTGTACCATATAAAGATAAGTGTTCATTTGAGAAAGAAATAAAGGTTGTTGCTTTAGAAACTTCAGTTACTTAACCCAACTCCGTTTACTTCCTGAAACTATCTTTCATCTTGGTTACACTGATTGTTTTAAAATATTTTCTGAAGAAAATGCTGAAGCTTGAAGTTTATTCTGATAGTTTCTCATTTTTTTTCCCTTGGTTTATTTAGTACAAGTTAATGGTAGAGAAGATGAGACAGTTAAACTTGTTTCTCAGCAATTTATTCTTAGTCAGCTGTTTCAAAAAAGGTTTTTGCCCCTGTAATTCTTTGTCTGCTAATCAGTAACTCTCATTATTCATTCTCCAAGCTTTGGAAAAATTCACTGTACCTGACTAAACCCAGAATATTTAATGTTTGTTGGAAAGACTGCAGTGGATACCAGCCTGCTATGTGATTGAAGGCAATGAAGTGGGAGACCAAGTCACCAAAAAAATAGGGCATAAAGTGTTGAAAATGAATCAGAGAAACATGTCTATTGTGTCCCAAAGGCAATATTATTGCACTTTCTGTGTGGTGAAAGTATTCAGATAGGAGGTAAGTAAAACAGTGCTTACCTGAATCATTGGGATATGTCAGTTATTTTCTTCTGGATTATCTTATTTGAGGAAACTGTTTAATGACGTAAAACATCAAGAGTTCAGGATCAGATTTTTCTATTATATTTAATCAATAGACAAGTTTTACAGAAATATATTGGCAAATATCAAAATTGGACATTTATTATTTTTTCAAGCCAACAACAAGAACATACATAACATCATAACTTCTGAAACATGCGGGAGAAACATACATAATCTTTTCTTTTCAGTTAACTTCATTATGTGCATGCATGCGCAAAGCTGAATTCAAGGTGGAAACATCACAACATACTCCCACTTTTGAGATTTGAACCAAGGAATCTCAAACCCTAATTCTTTGTTTAATTAATCCTCCATATCTGGACCTTTTCCCAGGAACAGTCTGGAAAAAAGTCATTAAATGTTCTCTGCTTAGAAAAAGTTATCTTTTGAGCTAGTACTTACTACCTTGTCAGAAGCAGTCCCTGAAAGACGATCTTCAGCAGTCTTCGGTTCATTGGGAGTGGAAGCCTGTTCAGCTATAGGTATAACAGGGCCACTTTTATCAGTCACTTCAAGAGGTATTAGGCCACTTATGAACAAGCAGATAGAAGATAAAATTTCAAAATGTCCTATATGTAATGAATACCAGAATAAAAACATAAGACAGCCTATGGTACCACATGAAGTTCCCGATTTACCTTGGTGTAAAGTTGCAATAGATTTATTTGAGATTAATAAAGATGTATACTTATTAATTGTAGATTACTATTCCAACTTTCTTGAAATCTCCCAAGTTACCAGATACTCGAAGTCAAACAGTGATCAGTTACATGAAATCTCATTTGAAGAAATCTCATTTTGCAAGGTACGGTATACCATTGATAGTGATATCTGATAGTGAAACCTCAGTTCGCAAGTAAAGAATTTGCAGAATCTGCAAAGAAATACCAATTTAAACATACATCAAGCAGTCCATACGATCCACAGTTGAATGGATTAGCAGAGCGTTCAGTACAAACGGTGAAGAAATTCTTAAAGAAAGCTCAAGCAGATCATGCTGATCCTTATTTAGCATTGTTAGCTCATAGAAATACTCCTACTAATGAGATGTTAGGATCAGCAGCTCAACAATTTATGAGTAGAAGAACAAGAATGATTCTTCCTTCATCCGAAGAACTTCTAAAACCTCAAGTTGTGAAAAATGTAGTAGAAAAAATTGACCAAGAAAGAACAAAGCAGAAGTCATATTATGATCCTCATACAAAAACATTACCATCGCTAAACAAAGGGATTGTGTTTGGGTAAAGATAATTGCTGGAAACCAACAATTGTAGAAAAAGTATATATGACGCCTAGATCATATATACTGAGATCAGGTGGATCAGTGTTGGGTAGAAATAGAAAAGACATTAGAGAAAACAGTTTGGCTGTTGAAGAGAATATCAGAGGAACAGAACAAGGAGTTAATGCACAGAAAACATATGTAAAAGGATACGATTCCAGATAATTCTCAATTGCAGAGTTTAGAAGATGAACTACTAAACTCTGCTAACTCGGAAACAAGGAACGGTGAGCAAATAACTAGAAGTGGGAGAACGATTAGAAAGCCGGCCAGGTATTTCGACTAAACTCTTTAAAAAAATGGAAGATGTAATATTTAATAGTTTGTAAATGGCAACATTTAATACTTAGTGACTTGTAATTGGCAACACTTTGGATAGAAATATGAAATTAGAACTATGCTGGGATTGCAGTTCTCTGTAATATAATACATTCTATAATTATAAATAAATGTTTCTAAAAACTAAAAGTGCATCCTCATTATACCCGTCAGCATTGTTCTCCAGTCCATTAGCTTAAGTGTGTAAATGTGCTTCTAAAAGGTGTTCTTAACTTTTTTAACCGATCCATAACACTTAAATAGTAAGTCTGGTAATAAATATAAAAGATTTTGCTTCAAAATAAAGATCTTTCAGTTCCCTTTCCTTAAGATTAAGCTCGTTTCATTTTTCTTTTAACTGGGCAAATGGAATTTCAATCTCTTAAATATTTTTATTTTTTCCATCAGCATTGTTCTCAAGTCCATTAGTTATGTACGTAAATGTGCTTCTAAGAGATGTTCTTAACCTTTTTAACTGATTCATAACACTTAAATAGTAATGCTATTAATAAATAAATATACAAGATTTTGCTTCAAAATAACTCGTATCCTGGCAAGAAGACCAAATAACATTGTGTCTGTCCCAAGGCAATATTATTATACTTTCTCTGTGTTGAAAGTATTCAGATAGGAAGTAAGTAAAACAGCACTTACCTGAATCATTGGGATAAGTCCTGTTTTCCTCTGGATTATCTAAAGCTTTCAAGGAAATAGTTTATACAACGTAAAATATCAAGAGTTCAGGATCAGCTTTTTCTATTATTATATTTAATCTGCTGACAAGTTTTACAGAAATGTTATAACAAATATCAAAACTGGACATTTATTATTTTTTCAAGCCAACAAGAAGAACATGTATAACATCAGAACTAATAAGGGAAAGTGTGTTTTAATGGAGAATTTTCTAACGGTAGCTGCTAGTATTTACACATGAAGAAAACCATAAAATTTCTTGCAAACAGCTTGGTTGATCTCTGAAAGTAGAATTTGGATTGAATTACCAATGTTTTATGGATTTAACTACTCCAGAAGTCTATTTTACAGCGACATAGGGCTTGTTATGTTTATTATAAGCTTACCTCTTAAATTAGATATATCTGGTGTTGCAAAATAATAAATCTTCATTATTGAATAGAACTAATGCATAGATTTAAAAAAAAAGACAGAATATCAGTTTTTATAAATTCTGATTCACTTTTTTGAGTTTATTGATAAAGAGGATTGAGCAGTTTGCTAACAAAGCTAACATGAACCCTCGGTGGATTTATATGTTGGGGGCTGAAGGAATATCTGATCATAATTTCTGTGTTTGAAGTATATTTATTCTTTGAGATATGATTTGAAACTAGTAAAAAGGAATTTTATGAGAAATTATTTTAACTTAAGATTTTATGGGGTCATGAGTGGATCTGCAAGTATAATGGATCAGTAATCTGTTACAATTTAAAGTGTTTCCAGTTTCTTTTTTAGTTTTCTATCATAATTTTGAGTATACTATATAGAAATTACTTTTTTAGTATGTTGTACTTTTAAGTGTAAATTCTAATGATTTACATTTAATAGTGTTGGTTATAAAATGCATTTTAGTCTAAACTATTGCTTATTTATATTTTTCCTTCAGATGACAATGGACCATATTACTGGCATATCAGCAGTGGGACAATCCAGCGAGAGCCTCCTATTTTACATGTTGGGTGTAATAAAACTCCAAGCAGAATGTCAAAAGATCTTGAATTGGTAAATTTTGTTTATGAATTTCTTTTAAACATAACTGTATTTTTAAGTAGCAGATACTTATGAATTTTTTTGATGAGTTTCTAAATGTGCATAATTAAAATATACAGTCTGCAAAAGACTTCACTCAACTTGTGTTTTTAGAACCATTGGTCATAGATACATACCTTCAAATTGAAGAAAAAAATTAATGCTGAAAATATTCATGTTTTGACGTATTCAGATTCTAAAAAAGTAAATTTTATAAAAAAGTATGAAATTTAACACTTTTAATATGATCTTCCAATCTCAATATTTATAATTAAATCAAAAGAATTTTATAGTGATTATAAAAAAAATGCAAATTTGACTTCCATTTGACAAAAAAAAAAAAAAAAAAAAAAAAAAAAAAAAAAAAAAAAAGAGCGAGATATTTAATTTCAAAATTTGGGCTATTTGATATTATTTGTAATTTGCCTTAGAGGGTCAATTAATAAATAAATTAGAATTATTTGAGATTAATTTTCCCCCTTAAATGATAGTGAATAATAGTCTTTTGTGGTTTGGTTTCATTTATTTAATTATGGCGAAGCTCTCGAGGGCTATCTGCCACAGGGAAGGGATGCTTTTGTGGTGCAGTTTTTTTAAGGGAAACTGACTTGTGTACACATTACAGATGAAGAAAACTAGGAAAATACCCATGCGGCCAGCCACTTCTCCAGGATTCGAACCCCAATTTTCTTTTGTGATTTACTAGAGTATAACGTTCTCAAATTTATAATTAATTCTGTTCCAGTTGGTCTGCCAAAAGAATTTTCTGTCAAATAATTTTTAATTTTACAAATGGTAAAAATGAGTTATTAATATTCTCAGAATTTACTTTAAAATTATAATCTTGTAATCATATAAAGCATTCATCAGCCTAGAAATATTTTTTAATTTTTCCCTTTATGCAATGAAACCTGCCAGTATTTTCCATTTCTGTAAGCTTCTTAAGTGGTGGTCATTGGCTGCTTATTGGATGTAAAATTTCAAGGTTAGAGTAAAATGGAGATGTTTTCTTTTACTTAAATTTTAAGATAACAGTAATGGTAATAGATGAACAAAATAATAAGCTGAATAAAGTCTGAAAGTTTATTGAGCTGAAATTAAGTGGTACCTAATTATTTCTCCTTCTTCCGTGCAAGGAAAAGGAAATCAGTGTGTGCAATATTCCACTTGAAACAAACATTAATCTTTGAGATTCACTTGTTGTGTCCAGGGCCAGATAAGACAGAAAAATGTTGTCTTCCCCACAACGATTCGAGAGCCAAAAAATTGAAATGTGATTCACTAGCCGGCAGAAACAGCTGATGATTCAGTATAAACATGGATAATAATGTTTTTGTTTTAAAAATATCAGCTTATCGGAACAAAATTTTATTTATGGCTCATTTACTTTTTCTTAAATATCATATTACCTATTTCTACACTGAAAAAAAAGAAGAAAAAACTTTTTCAGCAAAAAAAAAAAAATTATATAGGATCTGGATAAGAGATCACTGTGGTTATTTTACAAGCAAATTTTAGACATTATACAGCATAACATTCCCCATTCTTTATTTACCCTATTAATATTGGTGAGAACTGCAAAATGTACCAAAATCTTGGTCAAATTAGATTACTCTAGCTCTCCTAGATGCTTAAACATCATTGCAGTTCATTCAGTTAAAGGTAATAGTCTTATATTTATAATTAATATAAATTGAAAAGAATAGCTAATGTTGGAAGTACCAGTTTTTGATTTCTAGCATGTTGCATTGGAGTAAGAAAATCTTGCAACTATATTAGCATAATGCTGCTAAAAACTAGAAACTAGCTCATATGAAGTAATAGTAAATTCTGTGATTATTATGTTTAATCATTCATTAAACTGATCAAGTTTTTGGTTATTTTTTGAAGAATGATTAGTATAATGGATTAGTTGTTTAGTGTTTGTCAAAAGTGTTGGTTGTAGATTAATGTAAATCTTTTTAATTTTAAATACTCAATATAATAGACCTGCACTTATTGGCAGGAAAAGGGCAATTGACTTTGATTGTTCCAAAAATGCTTCATATATATTTAAAAGGTGTAAATAAATGAACTGAGAAAGCAAAAAACTGAACACAATTAAAATTGTACGACATTTGTATTCTCTTATTCAAAATTTGTAATTTGTTAAATATAATTTTATCAAAAATATATAATAATAATAATAATAATTTTAAAAATATGTTTAAAATGAAGTCACAAAATCTGTAATTCAAGACAAACATATGCAAGTAAAGAGTAAGTGAATATTGTCATCATTGGTTTGTATATAAATATTTTGTTGAAAAGCATGTAGCATTAATAATATATGTGGCTGACTTTCAAATAAAACTCCCCCCCCCATTTGTTTTTATCCATTATTCTCAATGGACAGTTTTTCATTAATTTTTAGGAATTCTTTTTAGTTTCTTATTCTTGTACCATTATGTGACCATAAATGCTTTTTGTGTGGATTTTTGTAGTGAATGATCATAAACATTAATTTTTATTCAGTTTACGTATTTAGTATGATTCACCTATTTCATCCATGCAGCAAAAATTAGCTGGCATTTCTTTCATCATATACACTTTTTCCTACTAAGTATTCTAATTTTGAAATCAGTCATAAAATACTAATACAGTCAAAAGTCTTTAATCCGGACTTGTCGGGACTTCGGCGATTCCGGATTATAGATCATCAGTTTAAATCTGGTGAGATGGCATGCAGAAATTATAAAATTAAAAATATGAAACCATAATTTATGAAATAAAGAGCAATTATGATCTAAAGGGTATCAAAATTTTAAAAAAAAAAAAAAAAAGGAAAAGAAAAGAAAAAAGCTTGATATTTATTTGTTTACTTTATTAAACATTTCTTTCAACGCGCGCATGTGTAAAGCATATGTTATGCATAGTTGAAATTAGAAAATTGCAATAAGAAAACTATTTGATGTGTATTCGTGATATTTATAATGACGAGGAATTTGATTTAAATCATATCAAAGGAGTACATCGAGATGAAATACTACATTTAGTAAGGAATTATAAGCCGAATAAAATAAAAACATCTGCCCTGAATATAAGAATAGTGCTGACAGATCAACTTCCAGTTCATTGCACGCCACGTCATCCCCCCGCTTGCAGAGCAGCATGAAATTGATAAACATATTTCGGAATGGTTAAAGAATCAAAGGGTATGCCTTTATCCATTTTTAGCAGCAATTCCACTTTTTGTTTGATAGACATCGAAACATGCTTTTGCTTTGTAGATCCTTTGGTAGCTCCAGAATCGGAAATTTCTTTTTGACATAATTGAAAGTTCAAGCTTAATTTTTATAAAATTCTTCTAACAGTCTGCAAAAAATAATAAGTCGGATCCAATTAGAAGATTAAGGAACAACGCAATCTGCAACATTAACTGAAATATGGCCCTATTCACGACAAGGAGCGTAAATAACGATCTTTTCTTAATGGACGACCGCTAAATTTTATGACTCCAGTAACCGTAAGGACTGTTGGTTGAATTGCCATTCGTGACAACGACGGTCGGAGGGATCCTTACGGTAAGTAACCTTCGTTCGAGAGTTAGCGAAGTTGGGGAAGTAAACTGGTTAAAATAAGCCAATCATATTACAGCTACTAGATATACAGGCTGCTCGTCATACATCTTCTAGTGTAGGCCTCATGTTGTAGCCACGCTTTAGAGTTGTAATTCAGGTTTGGGGTGCCATCTTTGGCTCTTTAGCGGTGTTCGCTAAAACTTTATTATTTAACATTCTAGGGTATCCAAACTTGCAATTTTTTGCATTCATATAAAGATGTGTGGCTTTTGCCCCCTTTCTTTTCTCTGGAGTTCAGATTCTTTATTATATATATATATTTTTTTAAACTGCCAAATTTCTGATATGATTTAAGTTATTTTAAAAGTTTCTAAAACTTTCTCATATATTATATTTCAAATTTGTATATTAGTTAAAAATACTTTCTTTTTGAATTCCTTTATTGAATTTTCAATTTTTACTTTTAAATACATGCATAAAGTTAAGCATCTCAAAATCTATTTTTTGACAATAAATTTCTTGCAGCTGTATGCTTAAATTTTTATGAGGTTGTACTGGATTTATAATCATATTTTCATATTTATTTAACTTTTTCCTTTTAGAATTCAAGGTAATTTCATGTGTCATATAAAAATTAGAAGTGCTGTATTTGTATGATAATTCTTAATTTCTCAGCTATGGCCTTTCAGTACTGATTAAGTTAAGCATATTACTTTTATTTACATTACATGTTAAAATGTTTAGAGGCCATTAAAGCTGTGGGTACAAATTGGCATGAATACAACTTCAGTAATTTTTAAATTTCTAAAGCTTTCCTGAATCAACAGATAATTTTCTGAAATTGTAAATAAATTTTTACATGATAAATAAATAAGTGCATGCTGATGCTTTAATATATCTAGCCAGTTCACAGTTTAAACTTCTGAAAAAATTTAATAGCATGTCTGCATATAAATCATGTTTTTTATTTTAAATATGCTATTTGAAATTTGCTCATATGGAATCTAATATCTATTATTGTAGCAAACTGGTTAAAAATGTTATTTTGCATGTGTTTCCAGAAAAGGCAGCTAAAGATTTTATGATTTTAAATACTGTTTCAAGACATGTACCTTTAAATTATACAGTCAAAAGTCGTTAATCCGAACACCCATAATCCGGAATGAATCCGTTTACGCATGCGCGAAATACTTTTAGGCATGCGCATGCACATAATATGTTTATGCATGCGCTTTTAATGCATAACGGACGGCATAGGCTAAGCTAAAATAATCTAGTTATCTATTTCAGCTAATGTTGCAGATTGCATTGTTCCTTAATCTCCTAATTGGACCCAGCTTATTATTTTTTGCAGACTGTTAGAGCAATTTTATAAAAGTAAGCTTGAACTTTCGATTATATCAAAAAGAATTTCCGATTCTGGAGCTGCCAAAGGATCTACAAAGCGAAAGCATGTTTCGATGTCCATCAAACAAAAAGTGGAATTGCTGCAAAAAATGGATAAAGGCATATCCTTTGTTTCTCTAACCATTCCGAAATCTGTTTATCAATTTCACGCTGTTCTGCGGAAGGGGGGGACGTCGCGATGGGCAATGAACTGGAAGTTGATCTATCAGCACTATCCTCATCTTCAGGGCAGATGTTTTTTATTTTATTCGGCTTATAGTTCCTCACTAAATGTAGTTTTTCATCTCGATGTACTCCAATATAATTTAAATCAATTTCCTCGTCATTATAAATATCATGAATACACATCAAATAGTTTTCTGGTTGCAATTTCGAAAGATATGTTTAATAAAGTAAACTAAATATTAAGCTTTTTTCTTTGTAAATTTTGATACCCTTTAGATCATAATTGCTCTTTATTTCATAAATTACGGTTTCATATTTTTAATTTTATAATTTCTGCATGCCATCTTACCAGATTTAAACTGATGATCTATAATCCGAAAAACCGATAATCCGGAATCGCGGAAGTCCCGACGAGTCCGGATTAAAGACTTTTGACTTTAATGCTTTTAGATTGAAGTGCAGAATGCTGTAAAAAATACTTCAGTTCTCTGATGGCAAAAAAATAAATTTTTGTACAGATTTGGTAGAGTAAAAATTCCACATCAAAAACATTTTTTCACCTTTAGGTAAAACGAAATTGAAAAAGTAATACATACATAAATAAATAAAAATAATACTTTTACATACAGAATTTGCAGATATTATTTACTAATCAATTATTCGTTATTGATAGCTACTTTTTATAATACATAGAAAAAATACTGATAAATTTATAAGAATTTATATGCATTAAATGATGGAAAAAACATACATACGCTGTTAATATTACACTTATCTGAATATTTAATGATAATTATTCTGAATAGTTAATGATAATAACCTATATAAGATTCAATCTATACCAATGCTTAAATGCAAGGACAATGCTTAAATCACAGTTCTTCTTATTAATTAATTTCCATATGTAAAAACATAAAAATATTATTTAGCTACAGATCTATAGATTAAGGCCTCTTGTAAGAAGCATATGCAAAACACATATAATGAAAATAATGCAAAAATAGAATTTTTTTTAATGTAGTGCAATTCATTCCATTATATTAAAATCTTATTAAAATACAGCAGTAATTTGATATTTTTTCTATTATAAATCAACAGCTTTATATAGAATGATCTTACTTTACTGGATTCTTAATTGAATGAATGTATATGGAAATATTGAAATAAATGAAGGGGGGGAAAGTAAAAGGTCTGAATAAATCTTAGCCAACACTGCTAAGATAATATTCTTATTTTCAATAGAATGTTTCAAGGTATATCATTTTAGCTTAGTTCTTTTTCTATTAAAGCAGCTAACCTAAAGCATGTATCTCATTAATTTGTTAAAAATATAGCTTAAGTAAGTTTTATGTGCATACTGAGAAGGCAAAAACAAATAGCCTTGATTTAAAACCTGTTTTAAAGCAACAAGTAAATAAAATACACTGGTTCTATTAGCACGTCAACAACAACAAAAAAAAAAAAAAATACTGTTGTGTACTGTAAAAACACATCCCAAGTATCACATTATGATATATTACACTCTTACAAAAGAAGAAATATCATATTAGGAATATACTCTTTTATGTATTTGATAACAAAGAAGAGTAAAACATATGCAACATCACATTATGAAAAATCCTGCAAGTCATTACAATAATAAGGTAAAAATCAGTTGATTATTCTTTCACGGTACCACTAAATTTTCCAATCAAAATTATGAATACGCCAAAACAGATTCACTATCGGTGCCTCATATTTAAGGTCACACAAAAGTAAATTTGATTTAGCTGAACACGAAATCTTCCACGACAAATTTATGAACAAATTGATTTTCTTTAAAATGTACTTGCAAATTTAACAAAAACATGCATGAACTTTAACATTAAAATCTAAAGCACTAGTATTTAGTAACAGTTACACATATTAAATGAATTTTATCACAATTTTAAGAATGCAATTTTCTGATAAATTTTAATTTTTATACAAAAACAGAATTAATTTTATAAAGCTACTTAAAAAATATTTCCTGTTCACACATTTAAATAAATTTAAAGTAAGTATACTTAAAAATACAACATGAAGATTTTCTACTAGATAAAGCATGATAATGGGCTCAGAACAATTTGTCGAATATTTAAATTAATACTTAACTTTTCAAAATTCCTAAAAAATACAGAATATATTTATCTTACTGTAAAGAAAAAACAAAATTATTTATAATTTCGATCACACTATCAAGTTTTTAACACTGGCACCAACTAGCAGATTTGGCCACAATATATTAGAATCAAAATAGAATGCTACTTTAAATTACCAGTCGTACAGTAAAATTTAATAAAAATAAGGCACATCACATTTTTAACCTTTGTGATAACCCAGCACAAAGTTTACATGAAATGTAGGATACAATTTTACAAACAGTATAAACTATTTGTGATAATAAAAGAAACATCACAAACAGTGTTGGCGATATTTTACTTCACAAACACATGCACATTCCGCAATTGATTTTGTATTTATAAAAATCAGCTGATTGTCAATAAGTGACAGTGAAATAGAAATACACATTTTGAAGAAATATGAAGAGTAATTTCTAACATTCTATGGAAAAATACGAAGCTGAACTTACCTCACCAATGACACTCTCCTGGACCCAGAATTCATTAACCTTGATGATAATTAATTATCCATTGTCTATATTGTATGTAAATTGAACGCATTGCTTCGATCACGGAAAATTTGCTGCCGACGCAGAGAAATTCGACTGATTTCATCCAAATACGCTTCAGCTAAAACTGACGCAAAACCTTCTGCCATGTTTATTGCCGGAATTATAACCATCTGTTTATTTAACACGAAGGGTCAGACCTGTCCTTACTTTAACAGCCGTTTCGTCAATTTAACGGTCAAATTTAAGGCTAGCTTTGATAAGAATACCAATACTTGCTGTTTAACTACTTGTGACATCAGAATACCTCGTGATTCCGTAAATCTCACTTAACGCTGTGGTTAAAAATGGCATGAATAGGGCCCATAGATAATTAGATAATTTTAGCGTAGCTTATGCCATCCGTTATACATTAAACGTGCATGCGTAAAGGTATTATGCGCATGCATTAACATATTATGCATTGATGCATGCACATAATACCTTTACGCATTAACGCATTATGCATTGACGCATGTGCAGAAAGTTTGTAGCTTTGAGGTCCGGATTATGGACGTCCAGATTAAAGACTTTTGACTGTATTAGGATTCTTTCACACTGTTCTCAAAGTATTTGCTCTCGATGATTATTATGTAATTTTTTTAATCCCACTGTTGACAGTTGATTTAAATGTATCTCAACATTTATTTTCATGTGCAACTTACTGAACTGCAGTATATGACTTCTGTGCTATTTTGCTCATATTACAATAGATTTACCCTGATTTTTCAACATACTTAGTTTTTGAGCTGCTGCACCTAAATCACATTCACAAAACATAACTGAAAAACATGAGCTTCCACACTTCAGGTAAATAAAATGAAAAGCAGTAAGTGTGAAAATTAATTTTTGTACAAAGATGCCCTTTGATTAAATAAATTAATAGTTAATTTGTTTCTAGAGATGAGTGCACAATTTTGTGGAAAGTATTTGTATGAAAAAAAATCAAAACATATGTAATCTTTTTTTATATAGCTGTTTAATGTAAAGAAAATCGCATGACAAATAGCCTGATCCCCTTCTGTATGAAAAATTTTGTAGCTTTCAATTTATACTTTTATGTTGTTATAATTATATTTTGAAAATGAAATTACAGCAGTAAGTTTGAAAATTAATCTTTAAGCCCTTGGATTAAATAAAGTAGTAATTAGTCTGTTTCTAAGAATGACTGTACCATTTTGTGAAAAAATATTTATATGAAAAAATTTAAAACATAATATATATATTCCTTTTTATATAACTCTTTAACAAAGAAAATCATATGACAAATAGCGTGAATTTTTTAGACTTCATTTTTCATTTAAAAATCCAGTCTTAACTATTTCTTAAGAAAAAATTTCATTTGTATATTTATGATTTCATGTAGATTTTGGTTGGGCAGGGGGTTAAAACTATTTCACGTCTTACCTTTTGTACTAAAATGTGTATTTTTAAATAGATAGCGACTGAAAACGAATTTTGTTTGAATTCCTGTAAAGCATCTTGTGGAATATCTGTTGCAAATGAAACATCCCATAACATCTTGAGCGTTCATTCACTTGATGAAAAATATAAGTAAGTTTATTTACTTTCAGAATAAAATAATAATATAATTAAATATGCATCAATATTTGCTTCATTTTTTTAAATTTAATTCATTGTCTGGCATGTTTTCCCCCTTTAGTATTGTATGCATTTTTAAACTCAATACTTCTGTGCAGGTATCATTTTAGATTAAGCTATAAAACTTCATAAATTATACTCATGTTCTTTTCATACAGTAAATTTTGAATATTCATTTTTATTTAGGAGGAGGAGTTGTCCTGATGGTTCTTGTAGTTTAACTTCTGATAAAGTAAGTGCTTTTTAAAACAAGGAAAGTCTGTTATTATGCAAGTCATCTGATAATTTATATTTATTCATTATAATATATTTTAATAATCCCATGCAAACTTGAATATGAATTTTGTAAAAATACTTTTTTTTATTTGCATTATCCATCCTTTTTGTACTTTTTTTTTTTTATTTAAATTTTTCAAGCTTTCCAGGTATTTTTATCATATTGAAGTGCATTGCATAAAATCTAAAGTATTATAATTTTACTATAAAGAACAAACTTCTTTAAACAATTTTATCAACGAGAAAATGGGATTGGAACAAATATCAAGTGGCCTTTTTGAAAATGAAATTCTAATGAATGTTTATCTTTCAAACAGACTTTTTGTGATGCCACTTTAGAAAAACTAAAATGTACAGAAATTAAAAATAAGATGAACAGGAAATGTAGAGAACGCTACACACTCCCTTTCCAGTGAAAACAATTAGGAGACATAGTCCTTTAAATGAGGTGGAAACCTGACGATCTTTCCACTGCTTGATATGGTTATACTTGACCAGCGGCAAGATTTTCCCTTAAGGTTCGCACTGCGTCTGCAGATCTGGATGATCCATGTGCCTGTGGGTTTCAAGATTCTGCTCATCACTGTCTTTTATAGTTAAACATGGTTTCAGTCTATCAATTGAAGTTCTTTTGACAGTTCCATTAATTTTAGTGTCAAAATACTTTAGTGCTCGATGTTTGACTACATAATGCCCAAGATAAACTGGTTGCAAAGATGAAGTGGCCGTGTTATTGTAGACAAAAACATGTGAGCAATTCAAAAGTCTTTGGAAACGAATACGGTCGTATTGCCATAGGTAGTCGTTGCAGAAGGTTTCATGTTACGGATAATACTTTATAGCCTTTGCACAAACTCTGAGTGTGTGACATTAGGGATCGTGGTGATGAATTCTCCTGGTAAACCGAGAAGACTTCCGTAAAGAAGCTCTGCTGAAGAATATCATATATCTTCTTTTCAGTGCAGAGTGTAATCTGAGAAAAACCAAAAGTAAAGTGTCTACCCATGTAAATGACATTTCAAGATTGCTTTTATAATCCTGTGCTGTCGCTCAATCAATCCGTTCTATTCTGGATGGTATGTTGTTCTGGATTTTTGAAAACCGAAGTATTTGCTCAAAGATGAGAAGAATTGAAGTTCAAACTGGCGTTCTTGATCACACATAATACACTGTGAAATTTTAAAACGAGAAATCCAGGTTGAGATTATCCCCTTTGCAACTGTTTCTGCTAATTGATCCGCCATAGAAAGGTTTCAACCCATCTTGAAAAATGATCAATCATTGTTAGTAAGTATCTGAAACCTTGAGATGAAGGCAAAGGTCCAACAGTATCAATGTTATGTGTTGAAAACGTTCAGGTGGATCCTTGAAGTCCATAAGAGCTGACTTTGTATGTGTTTGATCCTTAGGTCATTGGCATTCAATACATTCCCTACACCATAACTGACAATCTTTATTGATTTGGCCATATGAATCTTTTTGTGATTAATTTTCTTGTGTTTCTAATCCCTAGATGAGATAGGGTATGAATAGAAGAAAATATCTATCGGGGAAAGTTTGAGGGAATGTATGGACGGTTACTGTTGGTGGAGACATCACAATAAATCGATTTGTCGGTACCTGGAATAGGAATCCAAACCATTATCAGCCTTTGGTTGTTTTTTAAAGTTGTTAACTCTTCATCATCTTGAAATTCTTGAATAATTGTGTAATCGATTAGAGATGGTATTAATTCTCGAAAGAGCATCTGCAACGCTTTCTTTCCCGTTAGTAAAGCGAATAGTCGTTGAAAATTGAGCAATGTTACTCAGTTGTCGTGCTTGGCTTTGAGAGGCTTTGTCTCAATTTTGTTGAAAACCGAAGGTGAGAGGTTTGTGGTTCGTATAAATGTTGGAAGACCTTCCCTTTATTATATGTACCTAAAATGCTTTATTGCAGTGTAGATGGACAAGAACTCTCGATCATATGTGGTGTATTTTCTCTGTCAGGTAAGGAGCATGAGAAGAAACTTAATGGACACATCTCTCCCTGGTCACTGATGAATGACAGCTCCGATAGCTGTATCTGAAGCATCGTATGTGGAAGATATAGCAGCGTCAGTTCAGGGATGAACCGGCATAGTAGCATGACAAAGTGCATTTATGAGGTTTTTGAAGGCATTGCTAGAATCTTTGGTTCATGTTAGGGGTAGTTTACTATATTTTCATCTTAAACTGAGTAGTGAGGTTAGAGGTTATTGAAGCTTTGCAAACTTTGGGATGAAGTGGTGATAAAAATTGATCATCCCTAAGAACCTGTGCAAGCTGGTAGCTGATGTGGGTTTGGGTATGTTTTATATAGCTTCAACTTCTGCCAGACAATCTCTTATTCCATCAGTTGTAATTTCATACCCCAAATAATTAAGTTTTGAAGAGCCAAAAGTACATTTTTCAATATTGATGCATAAACCATAGTCGTTTAACCTTTGAAAGATTGTGTGTGAGTTCTTACGGTGCGGCTCGTCATCTGGAGAAACGATTAGTATGTCATCTAAACAGCAGAATGTAAAGTCTAATCCTGATAGTACCATATTCATGAATCGCTGAAATGTCTGTGCCACAATGCGTAAACCAAATGGCGTGAATTGGAATTCAAAGAGTCCAAAATGGGGATGTTGCTTTTCGTGCACTGGAATTTGTTGATAAGCTCTAATTAAGTCAATGAATGAAAAAAATCTTTCTGTGTAGAATATAGCCACAGTCAGTGAGGAATGGTAGAGGATATTGATCAGGAGTGGTGATATTAAGAGCTCTGTAATCTCCACAGGGCCTCCAATCACCTGATTTCTTTAGGATGAGATGTAGAGGACTAGTTCAACAACTTTTTGAAGACCTGTAAAGACCTTGTTGTAACATAAATTTGGCTTTTGCTGCTTTTAATTTTTCGGTTGTGAGTGTACCCCCCTTAGTTTCAATGAAATGTTCAATGTTGTGAATTTTGATTTTGTTATTGACAAGTGTTGGCTGCAAAAGATCTGGAAATTGTTTGAAGATTACTTTGTACTGGTTCTGTACTGCATGAACCATTGGTCAAACGACACCATAGGAGAGGTCACCATTGTAAGGTAATAAAGTGATGCCATTAACTAATTTACCATTTTTGCTGTCAACCGAAAGGAGAAAGTGAGATAAAAAGTCAATACCTATCATTTTTTAATTAACAGCAGCTATGACAAAAGGCCAGTCAAATGCTCTTCTCAGTCCGAAATACAATTTTAGCAACTTTTGCCCGTAAGTCTTAATTTTGGTTCTATTTGCAGAAAAAAATTCCAGCTTTGCAACAATTTTTTTTTTTTCTTTTGATAATGGTGGGTGGAATCATGGAAATTTCAGCACTAGTTGATTAAAAATTGGGTGGCGTTCTCCTTGTCACAAATAAAGAGACAACTCATCACTACCCCTGGCCCTCTGTCTTGTCTCTTCGCGAGAGTCAAGGATTTAGTTTTCCTGCGGATGAAAACTGATTTTTTTTAGGCCAGTTGCAAGGATTATTGCATCTGAAAGCCTTGTTGCCAAACCTTGAGTTATAATAACATAAACTCACATTTCTGCTACTACGCTTATTAATAGAATTACTTCTAGAACGTGATTTGGATTGTTGACGCCTTTAGCTTAGTTCGCTAACTTGTAGGAATAACTTTGAAACCTGCTCCTGTAATATAATTAAAATATCTAGAGCAAGTTACATCGGCATTCTGATGTGTCACGGATTTTATTTTATTTTCCACATTTTATCGGCCATTGTTGCCAATTTGGCTAAATTAATGCCGCTGATGAAAAAAATGCTCGAGAAATCCGTGGGTAATTTTTGAAGCCAGAGAGTTTAAGTTTCACCTACCTTATATCTGAAGCTAAATTCTTCATTTCACATAAGAGCTGTGAAGTTTTTCTATCACCAATTCCACTTCATTTAATAATTTTTGGTCCTTTTGCATTTTGGTTTCAGCAGAGATGGAAATTAGTCTGTCTTCAGTAGCTGCGTACTTGTCGTCCCTTGGGGAATTGATCAAAATGTCCGACACTTGTGATAACAAGGTCCTCAATAAGGCTTAAGTATATGTGGGAATTTATTTATTCAGAACTCTGATAAGCCTTAAGCATGTGCAAGAAATAAACGTAAGTATAATGAATAACTAAACTAATACAGTTCAGGCTTAATTGTCTCAGTGCGCGATAGAAGCAAGATAAAATTTAATGGAACAACTTGTCGTTAGTCGCCAAGCTCATGATGCATAGCCAAATATGTATAGTGAAGGATAGCTAAATTTGATGATGATAGCCGTGAATTTTAATGGCTTTCCGATATTGCAAAACAAAGGTGGAATTTTCCAAGTAACAGATTTTGTAAAGAAACGTGGGGAAGCGGTAATAAATGCAGATGATATAAAAGAAGTTTTTCATTGTGATGACAATGCTTCCACTGCTGCTGATAGTGAAGAAAGTGACAGAGAAGTTACTGAAAACGAGAAAATTTCGATTGACAAGTTAGTCAGAATTCTCGAAACAGCAGTTACAGGATTTCAACAATGTAACTAAACAAGAGATTATGTCTGTCTACAGAATTAATGAGAAAGTATTAGCATAAAAAATGAAGCAACTTAAATAACTTACATGGAAGGAAATGTTTAATATGGTAAATAAATAAATTTTTTTTTTTTTTTTTTTTTTTTTTTTTTTTTTTTTAATTTTGATACTCTTTAGATCTAAATAAATACTTCATTATTTCATAAATCAGGATTTCATGTTTTTAATTTTTAATTTCTACGTTCCATCTTACTAGATTTAACTGATATCTAATTAAACACAATAACACGCCGAATAAATACAATTCAGAATTCAACAACAAAAATCAGCGTTATACCTACAAATTTTCACAGACTAGTTTCGATGGTTTTACCGAACCATCATCTTCAGCTGC